TGTTTAAAAACTTTTCAAAATCAGCACTATAATCACCCTTTTGCTGTATATTGCCAAAAAAGAAAAGAAGATTATAAAACTTTAAACACTTAACTTTCTTCCTTTCTAAATGGGTTGAAGAGAAACTTACCCAGCAAATACCAAACTTGCGGTTCTGAAGGTTTTTCAATCTTTAACAAACAATAAGGAAAAAAGTAAACTTCAAAGTGATTAAAAAGATGAGGTTTGGTTGAACATTGAGTCCATAAAAGGCTACATCAATGGCTCTGAGCACAATGGAATCCTGCGACTCCCAGCTGACTGCAAGAGACAGCAAAAACATCAGTTTCTGCCATTTACTTGCAGGAAGAAAAAAAACAGGTGTCTGGAGTAGATATGGGTAATCTCAAGATCTCTCCTTTATCCAGAGAGAATTTTCAGCAGTCCAGATCCAGCATCCAGCTGCCTTTTCAGCCGTAATGTCTCCTGCAATCCGCAGAACGTCAGTTTGCCATTCCTCACCAGAAGTGACTCCCCGTAAAATGATACAAACTTTTGACAGCTTCCTCACATAGGTAGGTAAAGTCCAATAAAGACTTTATTGGACCTTTATTGGACTTTATTGGACCTTAATTAAAAGACCTTTATTGGACTTTATTGGACCTTACTGGACTTTATTGGACCTTTATTGGTTTAAACCTGTATGGTTTATTTATTGGACCTTTATTGGACTTTATTGGACTTTATTTAAAGGTAAAGTCCTATAAAGCTTATAGCGATATAACGCTATTAGGACTATGTGAGGTGGGCAAGATTTGCCTCAATGTGATGCTTCATACTGCAAATGAAATGTGTTAGATATTGTTGAGATAAAGAACTAACACAATTTGCCTCAAGTCAACAACCACGTGTTTGGACTGAACTTTTAGTAAATCAAATACAAATAGTTCTTTTTTTGGCCCCCTTCAATATGGAAAAATTGGAAGAGCCTTGTATGCATGCACAGAAGATACCAACTATTTTAAATGCCAGAGAAGGCTGCAGAGAAGACCTCAAAGTAGAGTGAATCACTTCACTATTAGAAGTGAGAGGCCACATTACTTCATGAAGCTTCTTGCAAGACTTTGTTGAAGCAATTCATCCCCTCAAAGATCTATACAGCCCTAAAAGTTGTAGAAGGGAGATAAAAGTAACATACTATAGCCAGTCATCTTTGTCCAGAGTAGAGATATTTTTTCTCAAAGAACATATGCCATCACAAAAACAATGCTTATCAGTTGTGGTCAAGCACCTTTATGTTATAGTTAAATGCAAAAATACACACATAAAAATGCCATGTAGAGTGTGTGTGTGTGTGTGTGTGTGTATACACACATATATATACAGCAGCTGGATAGCGTAGTGGTTAGAACACCACCTTTGATGCAGGGGACCGGGGTTCAAATCCCGGCTGGTACCTACCTTACCAGTAGGGGTCCTTGGGCAAAGACTCCCTAATGCTTCACCTGCCTACCACAAATATGAGAGTGACACGAATTAAGAGAGTCATGCCAGCTCGGAAGTCACCCGAATTAACAAAGTCCGCATCAGATGTTGGGGAATCAGGACAATCTGATGTTAAGTGGGCTACTGGAACAAACCATACATGGATGAGACAAGAGAA